ATTGGAACTCCATAACAAACATCTCAAGTTCCACCGCACACACATCAGTAGGTCAAGTAGGAATTGTTCCATGATTGTTTGGTAAACGTGTAAAAAAAAAGATCACAAACCTTAGTGATACATTACAAAAGACATGCAGTGCTTTGCGCAATCGAAGGCACCCCATTTGTTATGTGGAATTGAACGCAAAATTTGTATAGAGCATAACATTAAATTAGCAACTGAACGAAGACACTTAGACATGCTAAAATCAGTGTAGTAGGCTTAAGAAGCGATTACTACGTGTTTAACTATTGAACGGTGTCAGCAAACCATGATACTTCGGAAAAGCTTGAAATTAAAAAAAAAAGTGATTCGCATCTCAGGAAAATTCATCATACTATGAAGTTGCAGCATATCCGTACACTCACGACGCATGCGCTGTCAACCATTGACGAAAAAAAAACGAATGCTCTGAGATAGCTCAAGACCTAATTTTTGGTACTGCACTTTCAACAAAGCTGTGAAGTTTTTTAGTATTCAATTGAGAGAAGAAAATTTAGCGCTTTCATATTTAGCCAAACTGAACCATGTCTAGTGATAGTGGTATTAAGTGTGCACGCACGTTAGGAACACAATGAGAACAAAGGAAAGTATTTGCGGTTGAAGAATCGTTTGTTAGTTCAAAAGAATGGAAGGGAAGAAAAGTCAAAGGGAAGTTCGAGAGGGTTTTGAAACTCAAGAATTGCAGAAGTAACAAAATTATAATTATTTATCAATTTTAACCGGATTAGTGGCGAAATCGATTCAAGTATTTAAGAACGTTCGTTTATCTTGACGCCGAAACGCATCGATGAAGACTTTACAAAGTCACATCCGGTCATACAAAGATAGCAAGAAGCATGCAATCTCCAAGAAAATGCCTGATTCCCGGCAAATTTTTTACGCTAAAAGAAAGGTACACTGTCGACCATAAGGCTCAAGAGGTCATATCATTTATCATCATTTACATACTTAAGTCAGAGATGACTCCAAGCAAAAGGCAAATTCACAAGAGGCAATGGCAAACACGCGAGTAATTTTAAGATCAAATATACATTTGAATAAAGGGCCAGAATTTGCTAGGCTAATTATGGGGCAGAATACAATTTACTCCACAAAAAAAAAGGAAAATAAAGAAAGTGATAGGAAACTTTCCCCGGAGTGGAGCTAACAATGTAATGATAACTGTTGGCAAGTTCATTTGATATGAGCGAATACGATCGTTATATCTCAGAATGTTTTTTTTTCCCAATTTTTTCTATAATGGAGCTTTTCAGCAATCAAACATGCCTTGTTACACTGCTATTTTTTGTAAGTAAATACTTAATGTATCAGGAATTAACGAATTCGCTTTGTTTGCTTGTGTCCCTTTGTGAGTATGGTTTCTTGACTTCATTCCAAAATAATATAAAAAAAGACATATACCTGATGATGTACCCTTGAAAAACTCCATAAGAGAGTTTTGTCGTTTTTCACCAAGGTTTTGCTCTCCTTGGTAGATGGAGATGTTCTTGATGATTACGTTAGCGTACCTCACAAAATAAAGATTTGTTCGATGTATTTTATCGAGCATCACAAGTTTGCGCATCAGCAGAACCAGTATCATGGGGCGAGGAGAGATTTGACCTTATTTCTTTTCTTGGTATTTGTTCATGCATTCGCGCATCTTTTAAGCTAGCTCCTCTCCAGGAGTTTTATCATTTATTTTTCGGTGAAACTTGGTTATAAAAGATATTAAAAATAAATGGTTTAATTTTGCCTTACACCTTCAAGTAGAGTAACTTGTTTGATTTTCATAACTCATTGTAAATATTATAAAGGTGTGAGGATATGAAACATTTTAGTCATTCCGAGAGTTAACACTTAAACCATTCTTACAGAAATTTGGACCTGCTTTGAACTTATAAATATTGATAAGTCACCAGTATTTGCCAGTGTAAAATTCTTTAAAACAAAAATTACTCCTATCTTTGTCGTTGTTGTTATTAGATATTTCTTTATTTTTATTTAAGTTTGTTTTCATTTTGTTTTGGTTTTTTTGTTTTTTCTCCGCATTTTTACGGACATTATCTGAACATTGCCTTTATGTGGGTATGCAGATTAAGGGAAACAATGAGAAACTTATATTTATCTACAAGGTTTAAATTTAGAGCTACAGCGTAAATGATTACAAGATTCGAAAACCGCAAAGAGGCCATTTGATAAGCTTCTTATTAAAAGTATGAAAATTATGCTGCTGCAACAAAGACTGCATTGAATTGTTGGCTCAACCGATGACACTCGTTTTCAGCTGGAGAGCAAAGAAAAAATACGATTGTTTAAAAACGGTGCTTAAACTCGTCCATTTGTGTGCACTTTTTCGTGGGGTTAAAAAACCGTAAGGAGAGCTTGATTCCTCTAAGTGGCCTTCAGGCATGAATGGGTATTTATTCGGTGTATCTACGATAGTGTTACATTAGGCAGACAGTTAAGCTCACTTCAAAAATAGCTTCTTAAGCTTTCAAAACAGCAGATTACACATTCTTATGAAGTTCTCGCTGCGAATAAAACCAAATTAGCCACCGGCAGCTCGAGCCTGTGTTTATTTTTGGAGAGATCAGCACCTTTCGGAAGCGAGCTCTCGTGTGCCATCGAGTATAAATCCTCCCCGTGAGGAGAAAAAAAACCGCAGTAATTTTGTTTAAAATTCCCGTAATGAGCTTATCCGGCTCGTTTGAAAATAGGATTCTACCTAAAGAACTTTGGAAAATTCTCACTCAAACTGTGAACTGGCACCAGTAGGATGACCATTTGCACACGACACACTAATCCTTGCTTAAAATTCCATTTGAAAGACATCGGCGTCATCTGATGCGATCAGCCAATAAAGCTCGTTGCTTTTCACGGCTTCAGGTCTAAAATAGGATAAACTACCAAACGAAAAATTCCATTTCATTAAGATCGTTATTTTGGTGTTGAAAGCTCAACTACAGTTCCTTTAATTACCTTAGTGCTGTGTTGCAAGACAAATTACAGTTCAAGTCTTTTAGCATTGGTCGAGAAAGCAGAGAGTTCAGGAACACATGCAACATCGTATTGTGGAAGTTAGTTTCATAGATGTGCTTTCCATTACAATACAGACCACCAAACAGCTTCTCTGCAATCTTTCATTTGAGTCTCTTTCTCTATATATTTTTTGTCCCTATTTACGTGGATACTTAATTATCAGAGATTTAAGTACTCCAGTTTCGCCTTAAAACCATAATCCATAATATTCTTGGTTTCGTGATGCCCATGCAAAGCTGTGTTTGTTGGTTTGTTTTCTGAAGCAGATTTTACATTTTTAGCTCGCACAATGTACGTATTCAACTATATCAACTTCAATCAGAATTTCGGACAAATCAAGCATGTGATCATTTGCAATAAACGTCAAATGCACCCTTGGTCATTGAATATCGATTTGTACCTTCTTACAAAGGTAAAGTACAGAGCGGATAAAACATGAGCAACTTTCCATACTATTTCAAATTGTACACTCTGACGAAGGGCTAACGCCTAAAACGTCGGCTTTATAAACTCTTTACGGTGGCCAATACATTATCAATGCAGTAGAGAAAACCAAATTACCCTGAATTACCCCCCACAGACGCTGCACCATAGTTTCTTTAGAAACTCACCCCTTTTTTTGTAGGAGTCCTTTGAACATCTATTTCATAACTGAAGCACTTACCCCACTGAAATAAAATTCCTTTTTGCTACAGATAGATGATAAAGAAGCAATCCCTCGTGAAAGGACAGATCTTTTCTAGTGCTGTGAAGCGCGTAAACATATGCGAATGACGCCCCTTAGCAATCTCTGATACCTATCATATAATTTGCAGTGTTTAATTAGCTGCTGACACGTTATCTAGACATTTATCTAGACGCAAACAAAATTTAGCTAATCCAAAAAATCTCGCACCCAATTCACACAAACTTACCTTTTATTAAAATGTCACGAGGGTATTATCTGTCGTAACGAGTTAAAACGCAAATGTTTTCCTCATTTTCAGTGATAGAATTGATAGAATATCGCTTTGGTTGGGAAATTAAGCGTTGTATTTCGTGAGTGTTTCATCGCATATTTGTCATCGCCGGAACTTAGGAGAGCCCGCACTTCGTGGGAACTGGGGAAATTTTCTCGTTAATCTGAGGGAAAAATTTAAGATGACAGTCATAGGCTTACAACTCACAAGGCTTTGGTTAAGGAAATACATCTCTGGATTTATTCAGTCAAATAGTGCAACACAACTATTCAATTCCTCGTGACTTTTTTATTTAGAAGGAACGTATAAAAAATACAAAAAATTAGCATTAATTCCAGCCTTAGGGCGTTTTTTACCGTTGATTAAGATGACACTTCAGCGGAAATATTTCTGTATTCATCATTCGGTTTTTTTTATTCTTCCAACTAAAGCAGATGTTTTCTCGATGTGTGACACCATTGTTTTGGTTGTTGAAAGAAAATTATATATTTAAATCTTTTGATTCAAGGCATACTTTACAGATGACTTGATACACAGATGAAAAATGATATGTGTCAGAGAATTGACGGGAGCCATATACAGTGTGCTGTAGTCGTTCGTCTGAAATGAATTTTTTTTTTCGTTCTAACGGGTTTCATTTATTTTGATCTTGTAAACTGATGTGTCTGGAATAAAAGAAAGACAAATCAGTTGTAGAATTCTTTTGATTAGTTTTTTTCATTTCTTTTTTTTTCCTCTGATCAGAATTCTTTTGCATTGGTTGGCTAAGGGAACAACTAAATTGCACTGAAAATATGAGTGATCAGTTTTGAAGAAAAAACTAGCTGGAAGATGTTAAGAAATAAAATAAAATAAATTAAACAGAGAAGCAATTTTAATCATGTCAAAAACAACAGGAATGGAAACAAAAACAACATCACCTGTGGCACTGACATCAAGCTGAGGTGTCCAGCTGTTATTTTTCCCGCCGGTAGCGAACAACGCCCTCTGGTTGGTTTATCGATACTCGGGCTTAGTCCTCTTCAATGACCTCACTCTCAATCAACATGGCGGACGATCAAGTGGTCGAATTTGACTAGCTGTGAAAATTTACGAGTTAACAAAGTAGGGGAACCAAACGCCCCAACTACGATTCAAGTTTGATAATAGTCGTAAGAGTATCTAAGCAATGCAAAGGCGTCCAAGAAATCCTGGATTTGGGGCGCGTCAGGCCTCCACTCAAGAAAAAACAGCTGATGTTGCAGAAGCCCTTTTGCGTCAAGCAAGAAAATCAGGACAGCTAAATCTCTCCAACCGAGGGCTAACCAAGGTACCTGACAAGGTATGGAGGGTGAATCTGGATGTACCGCCTGAGGCGATGAACGTGTCACTGGATAGTGCAGAGGACGATAAATGGTGGGAACAGATCGACCTTAGCAAGCTTATCTTAGCTTCCAACAAGTTAACTGAGGTATCACCAGAGATTGTACAGTTGCCTGCTCTAGCAGTTTTGGATGTGAGTATCTGTGTTTTTATTGAATGTTTACAAGCCTTGGAAGAAAAAGAAGGGTCAGAGAGCTTCGAAGCTTGGGAGCGAAATTCCCAAAATAGCCTATGATGTAATGCTTAATCAGAATCAACCGATTAATTATTTGATGCTTTCGTGATTGCATTTTTGAATCTGTCAGGAATAGTAATCCAAAAAGGAATCAATGTATATTCATGTGTAGGGATAAAACAATGATACCTCCATCTTTGATAGTCAATTGTCATACCAGTGGGGTGGGTTACATGTAGTTAGCTAACAGTAACTGTTATTTGCTGCATAGGTGGGTTTTGGTAATATAACAGAAGGTTGATAAAGGAGGGGGCGTTGGGGCCCATAAGAAACCACAAAATCCTAGAAAAAATCATCCAAAACCAAAAAACTGAAAAAATTTAATCAAAACCAAAAACTGCATGCAAAACTGTCTAAATCGATACATTTACACATCCCAGTTATTAAAACCCTGATCGATCTGATACAGTGGTGACAAGTGGAGCATACAGAGTAAACTACACTAATTTCATAACAGGATTTATTACCCTCCCCCTCCCCATTTAGGGGAGGGGGAGGGTACAGCTACACATAGGCTGTCTAGGGATCCCTGTGATATTTCAATTGGTTTGTCACACATTTCTCTCAATAACATTTGCATTTAGCAGCTATTCAAGATCAGTGGAGGCATGCAATTGCTGCTCAGATAGAAGAGAAACCAGAACCCAAATAGGTCTAATTAGAAAAACTGTAAACTGCATTGGATATCAAATCCGAAAACCTGTTAGTGTTTTTTACGAAAACCGAAAACCGAAAACCAAATGCCAAAAAACCAAAAACCTGCAAACCACAATGAACATCAAAACTGAAAAACCAAAGTCTTGTGGCAAAAAACCGAAAAACCAATCTAAAAAAAAGCCAAAACCACAAAACCCAAAATCCCAATGCCCCCCTCATAAAGAAAAACTTATTTGATTTGTCACAAGCATTAGTTATTTAATAATCAGTTAGTTCTCTTTGTGTATCTATGGACATAAGACCTTGGCTGAGGAAAGCCATTGATTTCTGTCCATTTTCAGTTGGTGGAGCTGCCCCCATGTTCAGCCTCTGTCCTTTCCTTTTCTCCTCCTACATTCCTTGGGGTGGTCTTTCTTATGAGCATGGGACAAAGAAAAATATCTAGGTCTCCCACAATGAATAGGCCTAAAGATTCAATTCTACACTTCAGTGCTCTATCACTTAGCTACAGAGATTTATCGACACACAGTGAGCTAGGCTATGACTGGAATCATTTTAAAAAAGCATGCTGGGTACTGTTAGAATAACCATGATTAAGGTGTTTTGTAAGTACAGGTAATAAGAGCTGTCTGATCAATATGTGATTGCTAATTGACAGATTGTCTTAATTGAGTTGTTTGCTGATTATTAGGACAAAGAGAGAGCCTGTGCACTAGCCTGTGCCCTTTCTCTTTTTTGTCTTCTTGTGTTAGCTCACATCTTGCAATCCTCCTCAGCTTATCTTGGTTCTACTCAAACCAATGAGTACAGCCCTTATTCTAAGATTTCTGTCTTATATTTTTCATTTTAGGATTTCTGTTTAACATGTTCATTTTAAGATATCTGTCTTATATTTTTCATTTTAGGATTTCTGTTTAATATGTTCATTTTAAGATTTCTGTCTTATATTTTTCATTTAGGATTTCTGTCTTATATGTTCATTCTAGGATTTCTGTCTTCTATTTTTCATTCTAGGATTTCTGTCTTATATTTTTCAGTGAAAGCTAGCATCGGTCTGTATGGGTCATATGATGTATAAATATCAAGTAGCATTCAATATTTCTATTGACCCTATTTGTATTATTTCAGATCCATGATAACTGTTTGACTTCTTTACCTGATGAGATTGGTCAGTTAGTGAACCTTAAAAGACTCAACTTAAGGTGCCTTGAAGACAATTTTACACAGAAATTGAAATTATTACAATTAAATGTATAAGTCTAATATTTAATAAACTAATTACTGAAGAATTATTGATTAAAAGTTTTTCCCCCTTTGATCAATACCCCTCCCAACATTTATTTCCTTGTCCCACATTGTCCTTCTTGATTACAAATACAACAAAAATATTTTATACAATATTTCATTATAAACCTACTTCTGGCCTCAACAGCTTAACTCTTTGACCAGCATCTAACTTATCCTTACATTATGACCTCTGAATCACACTTAACCCTGGCCTTTAACTCCCAAGATCTCATTAGTAATTCTCCTTACTGTCTGCCATATAGTTCTTGTTATGTTAGTTTTGAGAATTTGGTATTGGATCAACTAATAATCTTCTAACTGATATTTTTCTTTATTCTCATTACTTGTCTGCTCTATATTGTATTCATATTGCAAAGAGAAATTCTGTCTTGGTCATGTATGGGAGTTAAATGGTTGAAGGTCATGAGAATAAAGAAAATTATCACCAACTAAAGAAGCTCTTGATTTTTTCAATAAATTCTCCTTGTTAGCTTCTTAGTGCACTTTAGGAACCGCATGGACAACAGTATGGAGAATATGCATACTGATGTTAGGGGGGTGTAGAGGGATGTTTTTCTAGACTTTGTTTCAACAACCTAACTGGCAGGGTCAGATATAAAACTGTCAATTATCCTTTCCATTAATGCTTGTAAAAGCCAAAAAAATTATCTTTCCAACTGGAAATACTGTTTATTGGATTGCAGCAGTTGTAGTAGATTGAAACTAAAAATATGAATAAGGGCTAACTTAAAGTTAACTAATTAAGATCAACAAACTATGAATAAAAAATTAATACATGTGAAGTGAAAAGCAAAAAATATGTACATTGATGATGCCTGATAGAATGGCAAAATGGACTTCTAAAACAGAGAGCTGTGTCAAAAAACTTGAAAGGTAATTATGTGCAAAAGAAACTGGCCATAAATACCAGAGGAGAATAATGTGCCATATGAGAAACTTGCAAAAAGATGTAAGTGACAAAGAAAAGTGCTAACAAACTTGACAAAAAACACAAACAAAAAGGTATTAAAAAAAATAAAGAACAAAAAAAAAAAATTTGAATTACATGAGAAATAATTAGCAAGGGCTTAGATCTTACAGTGCATACCAGAAGGGACTTCTCTTCATTTAGTTTAATGATGAATGCCTTTGGTATTAATTCTCTTTTTTAAATTTTTTTCCATTAGTCACAACAAGCTGTCTTCCCTTCCAGTTTCATTTGGAAATCTTGTTAGTTTATTGTCTCTGAAATTGGATCATAACAGTCTCACTTGTCTGGGAACAGATCTGAGACAGATGAAGCAGTTAGAAGAACTGGTGAGAATATTGACATAAAATGGTGTCAAAACATTTACATATTCAAAAAATATCTCTCAATCCACAACTATGATACGTTAAGTTAAATAATGGAAATTTAATAAAAAAGGTTTTTGTTATCTTTTTTTGTAGGATTTGTCAGAGAATTCTCTCAGTGAGGTTTCTCCTTCCATTGGTAGCTGTCAAAGTTTACAGCATTTAAACTTGTCTCAAAATTCCTTGGAAAAGCTGCCTCTTGAGATTGGACACCTGCGTGGTTAGAAAGCTTTAACCCTTCAAAGCCTAACATTAGTATGCATATTCTCCATACTGTTCTCCCTACATTTTCCAATGTGCTGACAAGGAGAATTTGTTTAGCAATCAATAGCATCTTTAGTTGGCAATCATTTCCTTCATTCTTTTGACCTTAATGTTTGACTTAGGGGTTAGGAGAAATAAGATGCTTATCACTCTTATAAAAACAGAAACTACAGCAAATGTGGACACAAAAAATGTCACATTGCTGAAAACCATTTATATCTGGTTTTATTGATCATTTTTGCTACAGTATTGATATTTTGCTGTGGTACTGATAAGAGCATGACATCCAAATTGTTTTCTTTCAAGCATTAAGAGACATGAACCTCAGTAATAACAAGTTTCATGAACTTCCAAAAGGTGAGTTTATTTTGCTTCCACATATTATGTTTAACCCTTTGCACCCTAACATCAGTATGCATATTCTCCTAACATTTCCTTGGATGCTAATAAGGAGAATTTGTTTAACAATCAAAAGCTTCTTTAGTTGGTGATTATTTGCTTTATTCACCTTACCTTAATGTTTGATTCATTTATGATATTGTTAGGAGAAATCATATGTTAGTCAAGATTAATTGATAAAACATGCACAAGAATTTATAAGTATTTATAAATGATTTTAAATAAAGTAAGATCATTATAGGTGGGGAATCTGGCTGATTTACAATTAAATAGGTATACCTGGCAGACAAAAGTTTATGATTTTTCCTTGGTGCATACTAAAAATTTTTAACCTTTTCATTCTCAGATCTTATTAATAATTCTCCTTACTGTCTGCCCTACAATTCTTATGGTGCTATGTGGGAGAATTTGGTATTGGATCACCTAATAATTCCCAAACTGATATTTTTCTTTACTTTTGTCTCTTGTCTGCTTGATATAACAGTTGTTTTGATGTTGTAAGGAGAAATTCTGTCTTGGTCAGGGAAGTTAAAGGGTTAATCTGTAATAGTTACACAAGTGTAAGATCCCTTCACACAGACTCTCCCATTTTTTGTTAAGGTTGAGGCTAACCAGAAGCACTTTGATTTCAGTTTACTCTCTCTCAGCTGTCATTTCCCAAATTGTTTGTTCCCAGGGTCTAGTATATTATTTCATGTGGAGCTTTCTCATTTTCAGAACTTGGAAGGTTAAGTAATCTTGAAAGATTGGATTGCCGTCACAATCAGCTCACTGGTGTGCCATTTTTGATGTCTTGTCAATCCCTAAAGGTACATTTATATGTTTTAATGACACACTGTTTAATTGGAGAATCATTTGTTGTGACTTTTGTGAATTGATTGATGTAGGGTTAAGCATACATTGTGCGATACATAATAAGTTTTTGTGGAGCAAAAAGGGAGTAAACAACTGCTTTTAATTTCATTCTTATTCTGTTTTTATTTAACTTTATTTCCTTTCCATTTGGAGGAGATAGAAAGAGTTACTCAATGTGAAGCCTAAAACAGCTCAGTAGGTTTGGTGTGTTCTCTGAGCCATCCTCATCCAACTCAAATGACACACAGCTAACAGCTCAGAGCACTTGTGGAGTTTTGTGTTAACCCTTTAACTCCCAAGATCTCAATAGTAATTCTCCTTACTGTCTGCTATACAGTTCTCTTGGTGTTAGTTTGGAGAATTTGGTTTTGGATCAACTTATAATCCCCTAACTGATATTTTTCTTTATTCTCATCACTTGTCTGCTTGAAATTGTATTGATATTGTAAGGAGAAATTCTATCTTGGTCACTCATGGGAGTTAAAGGGTTAAATATATTTTTAAATAATTATATTTAACCAAGAAACATACCTGTTATTGACTCTTTATGTGAAATTCATAGTGACTGTGATTTGTTATCGACAGGAACTTTACCTTGGCAACAACAAAATAAACAGTTTGAATGGTGAAAGTTTCTCCTATGTCACCTCATTGTCAATATTTGATTTCAGGGACAACAGAATTAGCATGTAAGTATTTAACATATTCCGTATTTCTTCAATTAAACCCTGCCCTTGAATAAACGCTGCATTTTAGAGCAGAAATATTAATAAATACCACCCTCAAACAAACATGCAGTATTTCTTTGAACAATAAACTCAAAAAGCACACAGCAATCATTGCTTCAGTTGTAGTTGAAAATTTTGAGTGACCCAGACACAAATCCTTTTGAATATACCAGTTTTGATGTTGAGAAAGCATATCCAACATAAGATCTTTATTTGCTTTATGTATTGCAGTAGTATCAACATGCAAATTGTGAAATTGAGAGCAATTTAAAAAATGACTTTTTAGACAAGCACTAAAATGTGTTTCTGTTTTTTAAAATTAAAATGGTCAGTTACCATACTATTATTTGGATTTTAAATAAATGCCGCCCTCTAATAAATGCCGCCCTTTCATAAATGCCACACTCAAATCAGGAAAAAATTTTAAAAATGCTATGGCATTTAATTGAATAAATGCGTTGTATTGCAATCCTGTTATCGTGAACCCTTTTTGTCTTCAATCTCCTGAGTGTTATAATGATTTGATGTTGCTCAGCCACCATGGCTAACCCCTTTTTGTCAGTCATCACAAGACCTCTTTTAGACATATGGCTCCCTCTGCTGTCACAGCTGGCTCCTTCACAACTGTCATTTTCTCTGATAACATTGGACTGCCTTCTTTTTTCTGCTCTGAGGCTTATTTTTTTCAAAGATTGAGCAAAATCCCTATGGAGCCTCCTTAAAGGAAGGTTTACCAGTATTTTTAATGCCCCATGGCCACACAAAGTTTTTGGCTGTTTAAGAGCAGATTCCATTTCATTATAGTTTTTTCTCAAGGTGAAAAAAAAAGTGCTTGTCATAGATATACAGTAAGCTGCTTATCTATGGTACTTTTTTCAAGTATTCCAGATGAGATCACTGTGCTTAAAAAACTGGAAAGACTTGACTTAGCAAACAATGCCATTTCTGGGTAAGTGCCCCTGTCTTCTGTATATAAGAGTTACAGGTATACCACTAAGATTCCTCCCTTTTTATTATCTCTGCTATATTAAACAACTGACACACATGTAACTTCAACTTTAACGTATTCCCTTGTAGTTTTTTGTAAGATGTTTAGCAGCTTTATCATGGATTAAGTTCCATGCTTTAAATGATTATCAAAGTATGGCTTGATTAGCCTAGTTTGTAAGCAGTGATTTCCTTTTAGTTTTTCTTCTGTCCTTTAGGAGTTCACAATTGTCTGGTGCAGTTTTAATAAAAAGAATCTTCAACAACCAAATTCCAGTGCATTAAGATATCTGTAGGGAAATTCTATCTCTATCCTCATTGCTCTTCAGTTTCCAAGTGGTCTTAATGTTTTATTAACCAAATAACTTGTCTCTGGCAATGAGCTACATGAAAAACCCAGCTTTGTGTCTATTAGCTTTTTTGAAATAAGCCTTCTCTCATTTATATCACTATTAATGGTTAACTCACACAATGCATCTAATTTTTGTAGCAACTGTAACGTAATATCTGTCTTATAAATAATTATTAGTCTTCCATACACAATGGGAGCTATGGAACATCTGAAATCTCTAGTTCTGGATGGAAATCCTTTGAGAAGTTTGCGCAGAGATGTTGTTATGGTAAGGCAAACAATTTTTTTCAACACTTGTAATATGTTGATGTGCAATGTAAGTTAGATAATACATAGACTATGCTAAGATCCACTCTTCATCTTAAAATGCTGGAATGCATTGAGGTCTTATGTTCACTGCACTGTGGTGATTTGACCTGAGTCAATGTATTGAATTATTTTTTTTTTACACTGTATCTTTGTTAATGAAGCTGTCTTTTAATCTCAGAGAGGTACACAAGCCATTTTGAAGCATCTCCGTAGTCGCATCCCAGGTCAGAACACTAATAACAGTCTTTGAGTTTACTGTTAGTAATTAGGATATTCCCTTGACATTCATTGCACACAATTTTGTTTTGTTACCAGAGGAGGAAAAACAACAAGATGCTACAGATGCTCCTGTGACATCCTTACCAGTGAGCACAGCCATACCAACCACTTCAAGCGGACTGGACATGCACACAATCAGTAGCACAAAAACCCTTAACTACAGGTCATGAGCTAAGGATAATAACTTGAGAATTGTCTCTTTTAGTTTCAAATGGAATGGTTAATTTAATTTAGTGATATGACTATTTAAAGCTGAAGAGTGTTGACAAAAGATTATTGGTTTGAATTTATATGTGAATGTTGTAACAAGCCCCCAATAGACTTATAAATTCCCAGGGGGTAATTTAAACTTCAAGAGTGCCTAAATGAGAGTCATCAATTAATTCATTCATTCATTCATTCATTCATTCATTTGCTAATGCAGCCTATCAAAGACATGCACATTTGTAATGACGAGGTTTATTAGTGATGGGGCTCATCAGAGAGGCAAGTGTACTAAAAGCTTGAAATTTTAGAAGGGCGCCACGGTATTTGTTGGGGGGGGGGGGTTTAGAGAGAGGGGCTTACTAGATGTCTGAAACTTTGAAAGAGGGTTTATTGAAAAGGGGGAGGTATTCGATAGGGGAGATGTTTTATAGAAGTGTAGAGTTTTAGAAGAGGGGTTTATTGGTGAAGAAGAATTTTACAGGATTTTGGGTTCAAAGGCATATTGATGTGGCCAAAGTATGTCATTAGCTGGTCTTGTACTCATAGAGGGCTCAAATGTGGTGATCAAATGAAAGTTACATGGCACCAAATCATGAATATATTTTTTTCTCTTTGTGCAGCAACAAGAAGGCAGTCAACATTCCTGATGAAGTTTTGGATGCAGCTACTTCAGCAGAAGTGACCACTCTAAACCTCAGCAAGAATGTACTGAACAAAGTACCAGAGAGGTGAGAGAGATGGAAAATGTGGAAGGAAGATGTCAGTTCATATAAACTGTAGAAGAACTGTAGCTTGAAGTGCCCAAAATTTCTGTGCAACTCAGTTTGTAGAGCTCTGTGTGGCTAGGAAATCAGAACTGATTGGGGCTTGTGTCCTCATGGGAGAAAAACTGAATTTTTTTGCTCTACACTCTTGACAAATTTTCAGAGTCTTCCCTTAGATAAGGAGTTGGCTCCTAAGCAAATCAGAAACAAAATTTTGCAATAGGATCAAGGAAGAGGGTGATCCCTGATTCCACATGAAAATGGATGCTTGCATGACATTCCACCATGTGAACCTGTCAGGGTGTTGCGTCAGTCTTGAGGAGCCAGAATGGTACAGCATGTCCCTCCAGGAGGGACATGCTGATCCCAGGTTTGATCCCAGAGCCATAACCCTGACACCTTACGCTTGTTGAGTTTGTTTGTGGTTCTTTTCCTTGTACAGAGGGCTGTTGTTTTTCTTGGTCTCCCCACCTTTCTCCATTCACAAAATCCAACACTCCAATTTTTATTTTACCTGGAAGCTAACACTCCAACACTACATTTTATCTGGAAGTAGTGGATGAGAACACACTCAATGTGGATGTCCACAGCCAAATGCAATTTTTTTACGATTTGTTTTTGGGGAGTTTCCCTGGCCCTCAGCCTCAGACTCTACAACTTGCATGTTCTCGTGAAGATCAATCTCCACAAATAAATTCTGAAATGTTGTGGTGAGTGAGTGTGTTTACTAGACATTTTAACTGTTTTTGTCTTTTTTTTGCTTTCTTTCCTTAGGTTGCTCTTGTTAAGTAAATCTCTTACTGACCTGAACATATCAGTGAACAAGATAACCAGTCTGCCATCAGATTTTGGCTGTTTAACAAAACTTTCTTCATTAGATTTGAGGTATGCATGCACACATTAGGCAACAATTTTACAGTGACATAGCACTCTATGAGCACTGGTTCCAAAATAATTCATTGTAACTCATTTAACTGAAATTCAAGCCAGTTTGAATTTGTGCAGCTTGATGGAAAGACAAAATGATGGCCTTCAATGTGATCATGCTGATCTAAAATTCTAACAATTTTCAAATGGTTGCTCATGAAATTACCTTCTTGACATACTTTTCTCTACAGAATCTAATAATAATTAAAATGTCTGGAAGGTTTCAAAGAGAATGTACAGATATGTTGAGTGAGAAGCATTGCTTATGTTGAGCTGGATTTTATTTTACAGCAATAACCAGTTGAGTCATCTGCCTGACAGCTGTGACAGATTGAGCAGTCTTAGGGAAATAAATATCTGTAATAACCGGTTAGTCAAAATATGTTTTCAGAAATCATATTATGAGTGAGTTTTCATTTTGACATGGTGCAATCTGGAATTGAGCAGCTGAAATTTGATCAAAGGGGGTAAGTTTCTAAAGAAACTGTGGTGCTGAGCTAGTGGGAGAGTATAACAGAGCAGATGGCAAAGGGCTAATGTTTGAAATGTCAGCTTTAAAACTCTTTGACAGTGGCCAATTTACATTATTAACTCAGTTGATAATACTAAATTACCCTGAAATTTAATCAGGTTACATATGTCCTTTTGGCAAGATGACTCATGTCACTTATTGGTTGTTTGACAGCTTTATGGGCTAATTCAATGACTCCTTTTCTTGCTAAAAAAGAACAGGGAGACTTGCAGGACTGGCTGACTGACTGATTGCTGATTGACTGACAGACTGTTTGACTGATAAACATAATAATTGAATGATGTACTGACTGACCAATTCATTCAATAACTGATTGGCTAACTGACTATCAGATTAATGAAGAGACTGATAGACTGTTTAACTGATTGACACACTCTGTGACTGACTGGAGCCATTGACTGACTGACTTACTGACTGTCTTCTTTCTGTTTGATTGAGAAGCTGATTGGCCAAATGACTGGCTAAATAACTGACTGACCAATCAACCAACTGATTGAGTAAATGTCTTAATCCTTTCACTCTCAAGATCTCAGTAATAATTCTCCATAATGTCTACCGTACAATTCTTATGATGTTAGCTGCAAGAATTTGATATTGGATCATCTAATAATCTCCTAATTTATATTTTTCCTTTGTTTCCATCATGTGTCTGCTTGATATTGTTTTGATGTTGTAAAGAGAAATTCCGTCTTGGTCACTGATGGGAGTGAAATGGTGACAGAATTAATCCACCAAACCAAGATCTTTGGATTCTAATTCAAAGTTGATGGGATAAATTTAAGTCAAGCTACAAAATCTGGCTACAAGACAGTATTTATGCAATGTTAAAAAAGTAATTGCAAGGAACAAGATGGGGAATCAAAGTCTATTATAAAACTTGGAAACCTGATAATTTGCATACATTTTTTTACATTTTTTTCTAGATTCTCAAACCTGCCCTCTGTTCTGTACTCATTAAGAACCTTGGAGATTATCTTGGCTAGTGGTAACCAGGTGAAAGGCTATTATAGGTTACTTTTATTCTAAACAAAAATTTTGATGCTGCATCTTAAAACCTTGACTCAAAAGGATTTTCTTGCTGGCATCTAATAGTAAACACCAGAAACTAGTCGATTTTTGACATCAGTGGCCCATTTTAGGTTTAAGACACCAGTGTCTGTTTTTAGATTTAGAGTCTGATTTTTGACCCAAGTGTTCGACTTTTCCATTTATCCCTGCTAAGTTTCAGATTGATGAATTTGGAGTAAGGTGTTAGTTGATATTTCTGAAAAGCACTTTTGGATGAAAAAAAAATAAAGTATGATGTTGTACACTGCTATTCATCATTAACGATAATTTTATTTTAATTTTAGTTTTTAGTTCATATTTTTTTATAGTCTGGTAAAGTTAATTTGAAAGTTTGTAAATACTGCATATAAAGATTTTAACCACCACGATTTCTCAAGCTGTTTGAATGGTTTCCCAATCCGTTTAATTGCGGATTTGTCTTTATATTTTGGAGGGTTACGTCAGATTAGAAGTATAGTCAAGGGGAGCACAAACTCTGATCTGACTCAAACAGTTTATTTTGATTTCGCATGTTTTCCTCCTGCAAAAGCTAGTTAGTTATACCAGAGGCTCAACTCTTGTTAATTCACGTTTCTAGATCCAGATTATTGACGTTGACAGCTTGCTGTCGATGACGGCTCTTTCCACGTTGGACTTGCAAAACAACAACATCGCTCAGGTTCCACCTCAGCTTGGAAATGTTACACAATTAAGGTGCAGTGAGAGTCCGCGCAATTCATATTTTCTTTTTTTGATAACCTTTACAGGAAATGTCCTTAGACAAGACAAACACCTTTGAGACAATATTCTCGTCGTCAGTAGCTGTGTCAGGCTGTCTGTGAAGATGAGCGGGGGTGTAGGGAAGGGGGTGAGCGGTAAACAGAGTTTGTCTTGGACAGCCGCACACTCATCCTTTTTTCCCACATTTATACGTGACTGAGTCGTCCCCAGGTATCACTCTTATTTTAAGTAAGAGACGCCTGGGGTGGAGTCCATATCTTTGGAACATCTCCACAGAGAGCCTGGCTAGGGCTTGCAAACGTTGAAATTAACCCAAATTATTTTCTCTTTCGTCAAGGTCATTACAGTTGGAAGGGAACCCATTCAGAAACCCGAGACCAGCTGTTCTTTGCAAAGGAACCCAGGCCCTCCTCGCCTATCTAAGAGATCGGATACCCACGTGACATACTTGAATGGACACCACGGACTGGAGGGGGGGAGGGTGGGATGTAAGAGAGAGGGGGTCTGCCCTTGGATTCAATTTTGGAACTGTTGTAGTGTTTTTACCGCTGAAAAATCATTCAATGTATTGAACTTGTGAAACACTTTGACGCTATTTTATAATAACTTCAATCCTTTTTAAAAATAATTTCAATCCTATCGTCGAACGGTTCAGTGTTCTTACTTCAGTATGAACTGTGAAGAGGAAAAAGATTACGAGTGTTTGTAATTATCTGTGTTTATGGTTACGCAATGCATCACTACTAAGCTGTTTTATCACTGATTCAGGATGTAAACACTTTTAACCTGTTATATACATTAACGTAACAATAATGATAAAAAAATAATGATAATAATAAATACACATACCAAATTGTATCGAGAGCACCATGATGAAATTATCCCACCTGCGTTTGTTGTTTGGTTTTAATCGCGGAAATTCAAAAGAATTCGTAGTCAGACTTACTCTGTGCTTTGTAAAGGTTTTTTTCAGTCAATCTGAGGTGTTTGATAAGCATTTAAGAGGATCATCAGTAATGTTGAGATGTCAATGAACGAATGTGTGTTGTTATGTCAATATTTTCGGGCAATATAGCAGAACCGATGCTTAACGTAGTTGTGAAAATTTGATATAGCGCGTGTGCAGGCGGGCGATGCTACTGTCAACTTTGTTCTCTGAGAAGTAGTTGTTCATTTAATACCCCTAGAAATCAATATCGCCCATGTATACACTTGATAGCTTCAGAGTCCTGAAATCAGCTCTCTTAGATTCTTTTTGAGGTGTTGTGCTGCTTGCTAAGCTTTCTTAACATGTACTTTTTAACTATTTTTGTTCGGCTGATGTAAGGGGAATCCCCCAATTTCTTGAGTTCGTTGACCCATGAAAGGATAACACCAAGTGACAATTTATTGTCAAAATACAGACATTATTCTAAGATGGAGTTAAAGCCCTCGCGAGAAGGAATTGTGCTGAATTTGTAGCTCCAACTCGGTTATACTTCAGGAAAAGTTCACCTTGTGAGTGGGAAGCGAATCTGCAACTGAGCTAATCATTTTCTTGACACTTCAGACACGAGAATGGGTTCTTCCGTTATGTTGCTAATATTCACGATCTTCGCCGGAGCAGTTGTGCTGTGTTTTACGCAAGAAGGTAAACTGCGCTTGTACTTTTTTGTTTTTATTTGGATAATTGAGTGGCAAGTAAGTTCAAGTTGTGTAATTTTTCGCTGAGTTGTATCTGTACCGTGTTTGCAATTTTAATCTGCTGATGTAATCACATTTTAATACCAACACATCATGTGCATGCAAGGTGTATTTATCTCGTACAAAAATTCAGTAACCTGGTATCTATATAGTTTTTGTTTCACCTACTTAGTTTTGGCTTTATATAACTTGGTTATTCCATCAGGAAAACGCAGGTGCCAAAATTCTGAAAGAATCTTGTTTGTTTTCGCCAATGAATCAAGTTGTAAACCTCTTGAAAAGGCGACAGCCACGTGTGCCGCCGGTTTGAATCTTTCTTTGCCGCAGCAAATTGGTACAAGAATTTTCAACAGATTAGATTAAAACAGATTAAATGAGAAAGAAACTGCTACTAAACTACAAAGGCAATTATGTAAAGAGTGATGAATTGCAGTTCTTACAGCAAGCAAATATTCAGAGGTCACCAAGGGGTCAACCGAGTAAATCTCATTCTTCCGAATATATATAGGAGGTAGATTGATCCTTTGAACGTGATTGAAAGTTATTTCATTCAGTAGAAAACAAATTTAAATCAGTTAGTAATTCATATCCCGCGACTGAGTGGAAACTAACTGTCCTTGAGGCAAATTCGTTCTCACGAACACAAACAGTTTCATGCTCCTCTAATCACGTTTCTACTTACGTAGGCAGATTTTATCCATTCAGACAATGTGTAAGGCCATTTTCCAGCTTATTGAAATCGCTTTATCAACCGACAAATTTATTAAACTACCCTGTATCTATCTGCCAGATTTTGAACCCTTAAAAAGTCATTTTTCACTAGTTAACTGAGTTGAAGTCCATAGCTGCCAGAAGTCTCTAGCTCTATCGGATGCTTAATTCGCGTGACAAATATTTATTTCAATTTATGGATAGTCACGCAAGGGTCAGGATAAGTGATTAAAGAAACCTACGAAAGCTTAGGAAAAGTTGTTTGCCTTTGGAATGTGAACAAAATCAAGATCTGTAAGATAACTATTTCACTTTCTTCTCATGTTAACTTTCAGGAAATAATTCACGGGAAGGCCGCAGCAGAGGGAATCCTGTATTTTTACAGGCCCCTCAAGATATTCATTACTACGTCACTCCAAACTACTCGGTAAACCTGACTTGGGTTGCAGATCACGTCTGCAAGATTCAGGTTAAGTGCGCTGGCGAGAAATTTCGAGAGGGAGGTACAAGAGTGTGTGGAAAGTCTTGCCAAGGCTGCAGAAAGAGGAAAAAGACCAAAATAGTAACACCAGCTGATTTTCCAAAAGACACACGAACCATAACATGTCAATGCAAAGTGTGGGGTGTCCGTGCCGTTCGAACGGAAAAAATAATAATCGAAAAAGCATGTAAGTCTTAAAGCTGTTTCTTGAACCAAGACTGATGACGTTACTACCAAAGGTCTTCTAACGTTGCTGTTGCCCCTCCTCCCCTTCCACTTTGCTGATTTTCAAACCCCCCCCCCCGTTTAAGTCTGACTCATTTTCTCTCATTTTATATATCCCTTAAAAAGGCTTTCCTAAAGTTTCTCGAAGTGATTTTTTAACTAGAAGCTCGACTTAAGTTAAATCATCCTAAAATGTACCACCGTGAAGTTCACATTAGTTAAATATTAAATGCAATCAGCTACAGTCACTGAATATTGCCTTCAGTATTCTCCCTGAGGAGAGCACCAATAAAGTAAGCATAAGGTTTGAGCATCCTTGAATTTTTACCCCTATCGTTATGGTTCACTTTTATTGTTTTTAGATCTTCGTCGTAATTTCGGCAAAGTCCCGTCGTGTCGAGTGGCATCTCTCAACTCAACAGTGATCCTTCGATGCAAGCCTCCAATCGGATCACCTTCGGCCAACGTCACGTGGGATAAAATTGGCGAGTCATCCTCCATATTTAGAAATAAAGGGCGCAGGCGGGTACGCAAGGGACAGTTAGTAATCAAAGGTGGCCAGGTGGGAGACTCGGGCGAGTATCGGTGTGTTGCACAGAATATTGCCAGAAGACGTGAGGGCCCGGTAATTAAATTAGTTGTCGGAGGTATGTTGGTTTTTAGGTAATTTGTTGAGAAATTAACCTACCCACTTATTGATTTCCTTAATCAATTGTTGCTTTCCCTACGAAATTAGAAAACGTCTCCAGTGCTCTTTGCAACAAGGACGAGCCGCCATGCATTAATCAGTCTTCGTCAGACTGTGAAAGAAAAAGAAATGAGACATTCAAATTTGGTAAGGATTGTAAGACACTTCTTTAAAAAGTTTGAAAAAGGTAACCAATTATTCTTCCATTATTTTTAGTCTCTTCCCTAATGTCTTTGGACTTCTTATTGCACTTGTTGGTTCGATATAATTTTCTATCTCAATTCTTCTTGAAATTCAGAACCAACGTTATTGGTTGGATCGCAAGATGCTTTTTTCACAGTAGATCTGTTCAACATCTCAAGTTGGAGACCCATCAAAGCTGAGAACGTCTTTTCATTTGACTTTTCTTGGGAACCAGGCCAGATTTTCTGGTCGGACAGGAAAAGCATAAAGAAGCTATCCCTATATGGTGGTATAAGTAAGGACACGCCCTTTCTTTTTGATGACGGTGGCTCAGTGGGGGACTGTTTGTTCATTGGGTGGCTAAAAAGTTGTACTGGACTGATGGACAACATAATGCGATTTATGTTGGAGATCCAAAAAGCGGGGTCAAAGTCAAAGTCATCGACAATGGCCCTGATTCACCGACTTTGAAATCAGTTGTTGTTAGTCACTCGGAAAGGTGAGTATGTTAAAATCCCTGAAAGATTTTCTCGCCGACAACAATTGCTACTGCGGCAGCCTCCCTCTGATTAAATTACACGATTTTCCTTCGCTTATTTCGCAAGACAGCGGTTGTTTATTTTTTTTCTTTTGGAATTTTGCGCGGGAAATTGGCGCGCGACCTGCGCATGCTCGACGTTTGACCGCTGTGTTTAATCATGCTGTATTACCTCACCTGTGAGCCTACTTAAAATTTTTTAGTTGGTGAAATTTCCTCGGTAAGTGTGCACCAGAACGCATGAAAATGCGATTTAAAAATGCAACTTCATTATTATTATTTTTGTCTTTTTCTCTCTTAACATATCGTTTGTTCTTTTAAAGTTACATATATTGGACGAGCTGGGGAGCAACACCAATAATCGAGCGAGCTAGACTTGACGGTAGCGACCGGGAAGTATTTATCAACAATAGTGTATATCTTCCAAACGCCTTGGCAATTAACGAAGCAGATAAAAAACTTTACTTGGCGGGAACGGATGCGAATAACTACGGAATTATTGAAGCTGTTTCATTAGAAGGTTTAAATCGCACCGTGATTTTCAACCGAACTGGATTCATCCCAACTGCTTTGGACTTTTACCAAGACTTTTTGTATTGGTCGGACTCAAAGAAGAATGCAGTACTACGCCTTTCTCACCAGGGAGGAGAGGGTACAGTTCTTATTAATGGATTGAGAAACCCAATGGGAGTAAAGATTTTCCATAACCGCAAAGAAAGTTCGGGTAAGAAATAAGAGTAAGGAAATGGAAATTGCTTTTCTATACGTTATTCTTTTCTCTCCATTGCCCTTCTCTATAGTATTGTCTCCATTCAAGGTAAAATACTTACATGCTTCTTGAAAAATTATTGGCAGTTTCCCTTCGCGAGAATTTTATCATTCTACTTTTCCTTTTATCGCCTAAACCTGCAGAAAATAGTGGAGATCAAATGGATAAACAGTGGATTATGAAAGAGAGAGTTCTTTTTTGTGCAGTAAAAATTGACTGAACTGAACACCAAACAGGAATGGTTAATTTAGGAAACATAGGTCAGTTCCATTAAGCACGATTCATCATCTTAATGTTTATCGACTGTTACCTCACAACCGTCACTTCCGGGGAAATCGTTTTAGTTATTCTTCATCACTTCTTTAACTCTGCTTGATTTTATTTTTTCTATTTTTCAGGTTATATTTGTTATATAATTTTTTATTTCTTTAAATCCTAGCCACAGATTCATGTCTTAAAGACAATGGCCGATGTGATCAATTGTGTCTCTATCTGCCGTTCCGTGGACGACACAGATGTCTCTGTGAAGAGAACTTTTTCTTGAGTGAAAATGGAAAACATTGCAGCGAACGCCGTCAATCTCCCAGCGAAGGTTAAGTCTTACAGCCTGTTTTCTAGTGACTGTGTCATCTAGCACTAGCACAGCTTTAAACCATCCGGCATTCGCAAGGTAATCAATTCTTTGCCACCCGCGTGCCAATTTCAAAGGATTCTAACAGCAACCTAGCTTTTACAATGTTGGCACATGCGCAGACATCTGACTGCTGTGTTCATCGCAGTTAACCTCTCTCTGAGTGGACTGAGTCACTGTAAGAGGAAAGTATATTGCTCAACAACTCATCATAATGACTTTGCTAGTGCAAGATGATGTTTAAAGAAGTAGTTTTACATTCTTTTGGATTGCTTTCAATGAATATTCGATAAAATCGAAGGGTTATGACATTTTTGTAGGAGTTACCGAATCAACACCAACGCCAACCAGTGTGGCCCACTCCTTCCAGACAGGAATACTGTCGATTGTCATCTTACTACTGGTGGTAGTGGGGATAGTATACTGTGTGGTTCGCGTCATCAAAAAATGCTGTCCGTGTCAAAGACCTGAAGACCTACCGCGCATACCCAGACAGTCGACAAATCCTGATGACAGAACTGAACAGGGTGAAGATTTACTCGAAATTACCGACCAAACTGACCTTGAAAATGCAGGCTCACAGCCACCTAAAGAGTCGTCAAATCTTATTGGTCGAGACTACAGTCGTGAGCCGTCAGGGTCAGTTGCAGCATGCGAGGATTCATCACAAACCGTAAGTAATAGTTAAAACAATCTACTTTATGCTTCTTGGTGGTTTTAAAAGTACCTACTTTAGTCAGAATTCCTTCTCTTTGCGCCTGTAGGATGAATGTAATCGGGGCAAGGAGGAGGGATGGGGTGCGGACAAAGTAAAGAGATGAGAGCAGAAAAAGGGGGGCTTAGGGAAGACCCCATTTTCACCATTTTTGCATCTCTCGGCTTCCATAAGGCTTGTCCATCCCCTTCATTCTAACACGTTATCGTCGGCTATCTCTCTTTACCTTTGTTTCAAATTCAGGAAATAGGGATCGAACATCCTCACTTACCTCTCGCCCCCTTCATCTGGTTTCACCAGAAATGCCACCTATACACACTCTCCCCCAATTCTAACACTCTTTTAAGCCTTTAAAGAGGCTTCTGTGTCCTCACACAGTTGTCATTCCGTCAGTTGGAGAAAACATTCTTAATTGATAGTATTCGTTTAATAGACATTTATTTCATAACATATCGAGCACCTTGTGGTAATTTCCTCGTAGCTCGAGACGCGGAGAAAGGCATAAGAAGGTTATCGTGTTGAGATAAATTCTTCTTTTCTTGGGTTAAGTTTTTTCTTCCTCACTCGAGGAACTAGAGAGAGGCGATGCCTACGGGTTCCTTTCACACGTATATAAAATCGACGCTATCTTACGCGCAAAAATTATACAAAGGCAAAGGAGGTACCCATGAGTCCCTCAGGATTTCAGGACGAATGCTTTCTCTATTACCTTTGTCGACATAACCCCACACTTCGAGATCGCTCTGTCAGATCAATCATCTGATTTTCTGTCATACTGCCGATCGTTTTTCATTTCTTGCTTACTTTTTCGCTGTTTTGTTAACTTTTAGTCACCCAAAAGTTTGGTGGTGTACTTTGAACAACATGGTGGCGTGGCAATTCTAGGAGATGATGCCCAACTACACCATCATTCTTCTCCTCAGAGTTAACGTAATTAAAAAGTTACAAAGACATTCCATGAACTGATTAGCACATTTAAAGACTAAAGTCGCCATTTTAAGAACATGTCTGCATTTGGGTTGGAGAACTTCACTGTGAAATAACTCCGTCACATCGTTAACTATTTCTACGGTATTATTTATTTCTTCATTACCTTGTCTTGAATAGTTTGTAGCGATGATGTGTCTGCGATTCTATATACTCCTTCTTTACCTGTGAAAGAAGTCTCGTTCAAAATGTTCAATAAGATCAACATTGTACTCAGCACCAACTTTAAGACCTAAAACATGACTCAACGTGCAGGGCAATTTTCCACTGAAGATGGAAAGTAACCTGAATCGTGTTTACTTCCGTTCTACTGTCGGTGATCACTTTACGTTGCTAAAAATAAATCGCGACGGTCGCTCTCGTTTTTCTCAGCCGCAAATGTTCTAGCTGTTTAAACTTTGATTTCTCGTTGACTTCGTTTGATGTTGACCATCTGTCCGATAGATCATTCTGATTGGTCTCGGTTGTGCAACACTTGGTAGAAATGTCCTTGATCTCGTGTTTGTGAGGGCTGATCCTTGTTAGCAGTTGCAGTTTTTCTTTGGATTTTAAACCTTTTTTTCTCCAACTCTTTAATGCGACATGTTCAAATAATTTTTAATGTGAAGTGCTATTTTCAAATAGGTCGATATTTCTATAAATATTTTATCAATTAGGGTTATCTTCTGCTAAACGATTGTGGAGGACTTATATATGAGATTAACAGTAATCGTTTATTGGTTGTCGTGAAACACTTTTTCACAAAGAACATTGGGTGGCACACGTAAAAAATAGCTCTGATCCTCTCAGTGGTGGATTGTGGCAGATTCTGACCACTTTAGGAGGCAGAGAAGTCACACTCTTTTCAACTAAATTAAACCAGGTGTTGTCTTTGTACCGATGTATCTAACCCGTGTAGATCTGAATTTTACTTACGGGTGTTAGGAAACCTTTCTCCCCCCTTAAGCTTGGGGTGATGCTGGGTTTAACATGTCTAAGATATATGCATAGCAATTTTTTTAGTACAGTACCTAGAGATTGTAAAATATTGTAATAATATAGTCAGTTATGTTTTCCCAGTTTTGTTTAGTTCCCTCTTAAGCGAGTAGGTGCCCCTCCCCACCCATGCTGGGGCTTTAGGAATGAAAGGTCTCTTAGTAGATAGATTGTAGTATCTGGTATAGACAGTTAGGATACCTATATCCAGGGTTGACATTTCAGAGATCTGTTTCTTCTGGTTACTTCGTAAATAAATGGTTTGAGTTAAATGTACATAAAATATTAAAATGTAGCCATCTATAAAATGTTTAAGTATAGAATACAAGAAGTTGCAGAATTAGTGATTGTGAACTGTTCTTGAATGAAGTATAGCGCTGGCCCTGACAAGCTGAAAGGTGGGGCATGAGCCCGTGTTATCAACAACTGACCAACATGGCGTCTTGCACTGCAGCTAAAAGACGAGCATCTCGGAAAAAAACGGCAGTTAATGTCGTGCAAACAGCCCCAATATGTAAACTTCCAGCCAATATTATGTTGCATGTTTTTAAATTTCTTGATATAAAAACTCTGTGTTCGTCATCCACTGTTTGTCGCTTGTGGTATCACCTTGTTTGTGATCGAACCTTGTGGAAGATAGTTGATCTTCGTTCATGGCCGCTTTCCCTAAGGACTTTGTGGAAAATCGTCAGGAATCGATTGTCAGATTCAGTTGTGGAGCTTCTAATAAAAGGATTTATCGGAACGACGAAAAAGAATGAAAACATTTCGCCCTCTTTGCTTGAAGAGATCAAGACAAAATGTCCTAGTCTCGAGACTCTTGGTTTATGTTATTGTGATATGAGAAACGTTCCTGCTCAGTGTTTACCAAGGAACCTAAAGAGTCTTCTCCTGGACCATTCCATCGTACCTCTTGGCTGGTTTGAAGGATTAAAATGTGAGCAGTTTTTTCCTAATCTCTTGGAACTTAATTTAACATATTGCACTCGAGTTGAGAACTCTGATCTACAAAGTATAAAGAAGTTGAAAACATTAGAACGTTTGAATCTCAGTTACTGCTATCGTGTTGGAGATGAAGGTATACAGCACATTGCTAAAAATCTAACTAACCTAACAGAGCTTAATCTGTCAAATTGTCCCAAAGTGACAGATTTAGGACTACACCACATTGGGCGTCATTTGACAATACTAAAGAACTTGAATTTGTTGTCTGATTGGAGGATCACAGATGCGGGAATTCTTTCCCTTGTGCACAGTCTGGTAAATTTGGAATATTTGAATCTATCATCGTGTAAGGAAATAACAAGTGTTAGTCTTTTTGAAATTACTGAAAAATGTAAAAAGCTGAAGGTTTTGGATTTGACAGGTTGTTGTGCTATTTCGGAAAAGGATTTGAAGGATGCACGAATCATTTTATCAAACTGTGTCATCCAGTGGACTTGACAGGTTTGTGTGAATTATTCCTGAAAATTTAACTACAAGGTGTTCTTCCACTGTTTTTACCAGGTGGTCTTGTTCACAGGATGGAAAGTTTGTACATTTAAATTATGTCAAGCAAATACATGTACGTAAGTAGAGAATAACATCAGTATAAATTAATCACTACAAAGAGCGGGGAAGCTTCGTTTGTGCCTGATCAACAACAAAAAAACTGATAAATTGGTGCAGATTTTAGCTGAGAAATACATATTTACCCAATGACAAGTCATGCAAGATTTCGCTGTAGTGGTAATTTGCATGCAACTTACCTTCTGAGACATTCAATAAATCATAGGAACTAACTCCGTCTCATGCATTAGATTTTGATGTAAGTGGCCAAAACTTGGAAATGAAAACTATGGAATTTATAATACAGATAAGGAAATTAGAGAAAAGTAATAGTTACCTTTTCTGATTTACACCTCATTCTTCAATATGGTCTTGTTATCTCCCACAAGATCTTGTTGCAATAAATGCAATACATGACCATCAAGGTTTTTTTTTAAAATTAGAAAATGAGTAAGTGGGTTGTTGTTCAAGCCAAACATTTAGTAGAATGGGAATAATAGAATGGGAAAATAACTTGACTGTATGTTTGTTTAAATGAAAAGGTTCTGTAAGAGTAGGGTTTTCTTTAAAACTAATTTAATAGCTGTAGGTTTCTCACTGTAAACATGTCACTGAACTTTTTGTTGAAACTGAGTTAATTACTTTGTAGTTTGTGTGAGATGTGTTAATTGCCCTTAGTCAATAGTTTGGAAATTCTTGGAGTTAACCCTTTAACTCCCAGATCACATTTGTAATTCTCCTTACTGTCAACCATACAATTCTTATGATGTTAGTTCAGAGAATTTAGTATTGGATAAACTGATTATCCCCAAATTGATATTTTTCTTTATTCTCAACACTTATCTGGTTGATATTGTATTGATATTGTAAGGAGAAATTCTGTCTAGGTCACATGGGAGTTAAAGGCTTAATTGGTACTCCTCAGTTTTTTGTGTAAATGTTGTAAATGAAGACATGTTTTATGCAAATGTGAATTGTTGAGCCACAACTGCAGCCTTTGCTAACCAAATGAATAATTGACCCAATTGCTTGGTCAGTTATCACATGTCTAAGAATTTTCCATGAAACATTTTCCTTCTTGAGCCAACCAGTTTCATTTCTTTGTTTCAGCTCATAAATGGAATAAAGCTGTAAATTAAATCTCTGGTCTTCTGCCTGTGCTTTGAAAATTGAGTTAAATTAAATCACATGAAATTGAGCCAAAAAGAGCCCTAAGGCTCTTAATGTAAAAGTTGAATTAAAGATTGAACTGCAACATTAAATTTTGTCTTAGGACATACTACATGTTTTTCCCTCAGATTTTACATACCTTTGTGCACTGATTTTAACATAAGATCTCTGTGACAGCTAACCATAGCTTAGCATCATAGCCCTTATACAGTTCATGATCCATTTGTTGTCCTGAAGTAATATGACTGCATCAGATTGGCTCTAGTAAACGATCTCACTTACTGAGTGTTGTACAAAACACAAGGCACTGCATGTGATGAATGGAGAGTGAAAATAGGCATCAATAGTTATGGCTGAGTTGCATTGCAGACCAGGCTCTGTTCTTTGCTTTCCAGTTACTTTGTCTCTACAGGAGTTTAAATGTTACATAATAAGTTTGCTTTGATTCCTCAAAGCAAACGTGGTTGGTAGGTGAAAGGAAAAAAACTCGTCATTGAGGCAATGTGGATGCTCTACTTATGCAGGAGTTGGAAACATACCAGACAACAAGGAAATGGGTAAGTATATCTGTAAAGAGTTCTTTATTGCCTTTGATGATGTCTTTAGTAGAAAATTAAGTTTCATTGGTTCTCTCTAATTAAAAAAAATTCCAAAGGAATGTTGATTTTTCCTTTCCTTAGGCAATAATTATTGTTTTCCCTGGATTCTCACATGCAGTATCCTGAGGCCATGACTTGATTGTAGGAGGAATATGCAGGGCCAAGCCTAGAGTTACTCTCGTGAAAGATGATATAATTCAGTGAGTGATAGGCATGCTCAGAGTGCTCCCAATTCTGATGCTCAGAAAACAGTGAACCCCGAAAATATGCTTGCAATGTTGATCAAAAATTTCTTGAGTAGTTTCCAAGATCAAGGTTACGCTAGGCATATCTAACGAAAACCAATGAAGATTTGGTTATGAAAATACTTTTTAGAATAATTTTCCCTACGCTTTCCCTTCCCCGCCCATGCCTCCCCCAAATCTTGCTCTTTTTGTCTCGTTTTTAAGAAGAGGCAACTGCAGCATGTTCATCGCAGAAAAATCTTCAGAATAGTTTCACCTATTAAGACCTTTTCATTGGAAAAGAGACCTTTAGGACCCCTCACTCTTTCAAAACAGAGAGACTTTGATTTATATGAGCAGGGCTTCAGGATCGGCAAGTACTTGCAAATGATTAATTATGCATGCAGTTTTTTTGACGCACCTTGTCTTCGCTGGTCTCAGAGGACGGAGTGCAACAGGCAAGGCAGGGTTTCTTACGAATTAAGGTAGGAAATGCTTCCTTTGTGGACCAATAGTACATGTATTTTGGTTTAAGTATGTTCACACTTTCCTTTATGTCAGGTTTTGGTGCGGAGTAGAGTGAAATTACGACAGCGAGGCCGTTTAAAGGAGCAGTTATGGCGAAGAAGACTTAACGCACGGAATGGTACAGCGCCATTTCGCTGCCAACTTACGAGGTAACAGTTAAATGCAAGTTTTCGTTGCAAAGCGTAAAGCTTTTCTGATATTGGGAGTCTCTTATGTCGTGAAATCGATGAGAGAAGGAAACGGAACGAGTTGCAAGACGCGAAATCACAAGTTGCCGTCAGACCGCCATGTTTATTCTGACCTTTTAGTTTTGGAATGCCTAAAGAACGTTACTTTGACTTGCTGACTCTAGGTTCACTAATCTTTTGATCTCTATGAAATATTTTCAAGTATATGTTATAGATACTCGGAAAATCCGGGAGAATATGAATTAAATCAAGAGGAGAAACGTTCTTATACTCCCTTTTCAACAATTCTTAGATGTCTACATGTACCTGGTGAATTTCTCTGCACGTCAAAAGTTTCGGCATTAATTGAATTAGGTATAATTCCCTGAAATTTTTAAACTTGAAACGGCAAAAGTTGCGGTCAGAGAGCTTAAAATTTATTTCACTTACTAATTGAAATAGTGCACGACATGCATTAACTTGGGTGTTATGCTCTTTGCCCTATGAAGCATAGATTTCCATTCTTTATCTCGTCCAGTCTTAGGCTAGCCTGAGGTCCCGGTTTTGCCCCAACTCTCCATCTCAGCCAGAACATCTCGCCATAAGGCGTGTTTTGGGTGTCCTCATGCCCATTTGCCTTGGATATTCCTTTTCAAGGCTTGTGAAGACGAAATATTGGCAACTGTTTCAGAATTGGAATATGCTTTTAATTTCAAATTTTATTAGAGTTATGAAAGAGTGACAAAATATAATACCACTGAGGGTATATTGCATTCAGAAGAACTGTTTTTTATCAATTGATCCTTTTTCTCTTAATTGCAGATTGTCACCTCTCAGCTGTTGTATATGGTGATTAAGTTGAAATATGGAAGAAGATTTCGTGGCCTTTATGTGACAAAAGGTAAATAAGCTCCTGGGTAATGATAGAGGAAGTACTCAATGATGGAGATGGATTGATGTTTGTAGACATGCCAGCATTTTGCTACAAAGACCTGCAGTGGCATTTAGAGAGGAAAGGAAATTATATATGCTAAGGAGAATTTTAGCTTTTAGTTAAAAAAAGTGGTAAAGGGCACCATGATAAGTCAAGGTTCTATCAAACTTTTCACCCAGTCTTAAAGTCTTGCCAGCATTTGCCAGAAAACTTTTTATCTAGTCTCAAAGTCTTGCCAGCCTTTGCCAGCAAACTTTTCATCCAGTCTCAAAGTCTTGCCAGCATTTGCCAGCAAACTTTTCATCCAGTCTCAAAGTCTTGCCATCCTTTGCCAACAAACTTTTCATCCAGTCTCAAAGTCTTGCCAGCCTTTGCCAGAAAACTTTTCATCCAGTCTCAAAGTCTTGCCAGCATTTGCCAGAAAACTTTTCATCCAGTCTCAAAGTCTTGCCATCCTTTGCCAGCAAACTTTTCATCCAGTCTCAAAGTCTTGCCAGCATTTGCCAGAAAACTTTTCATCCAGTCTCAAAGTCTTGCCATCCTTTGCCAACAAACTTTTCATCCAGTCTCAAAGTCTTGCCAGCCTTTGCCAGCAAACTTTTCATCCAGTCTTAAAGTCTTGCTGGCCTTTGCAATGGATGTTTGAGTCTATTTATATTGCATTCTATTTGTCTTTAGTCTCCTATTTTGAAGTTGGGATTTGTTGAAAAGGTAGCTTGGGAAGCTTAGAGTTATTTTTGAAAGAAGTAACAGACTGTGCTATTCCCATTGTTTAAAAATATTGCAGTGTTAAAGTAAATATACACGTGCCAGTATTCCAATATCAAATGTAAATAATAGTTTTGTAACTCTGGTTTCTCTAGGTTTCAATGTTAATAACACCTGTGATCCTCCAGAATTGTTGACGTCATTTACAGTGGGCACTTAATTGGAATAATGCTTAACACAAAACAGATTGATTCAGTCAAGAGGTAAGTGCAAATGGAATTTCAGCCCATCTGTTTTGTAACCTCTGAGCAGGTATATGATACTTGCATGTACATATCAGGCCACTATAACTTATTTGGAGTATACTTTTAACTCAGATGTGCACTGCAGACACGGAATACAGGACATTTCGCACAAAAGAATTTTCGCACAAGTCTTTTAGCACAAGTTTTGGAACATTCGCACAATTCTTAGTGGTCATTTTGCACAACAATTATAAGTGAGAAACATCAATGTAAAAGGTATACTAATTGATACTGATAAGATATCTCACCTTCACATGTCATTTTCAATAAGATCCAACGGCAAGAATGTAGACATTTATTTACGTAATAACTTCAACTAGATCGAAACGCTTGTGAACACGATCACTATTCTTACTTGAAGAAAGGAACAAATCTTTCTCTCTATGAAAATGTAAAGAACTCCTATTCGAACGATTACTTCTTTTACTTTTCATTTGTTAAACGAAAAACCTTTCAGTTTTGACAGTACATCATCCACTACAAACAAACGAACATGACAACCCAAAGCCAAGGACGCCATGTTGATTTCGAAAGTAATTGTCACCAATCCTCCCTCTGCTGAAGTCAAAGTAAAAACCTGCAAACTGTTTCACTTTTTATTTAAAAGGAGAAAAGACCTATTTACAAAATTTCTGTGTAAATACATAAAATTCAAGTTCATGGCCATGTTACCCATTGAATCATGTAAATTTTAACTCGCTACTCAGTCAAGACTCATAGAAATTTAGCCCTTTCCTGCATTCATTTAAGCTATAGTACATCTAAATCACAACACTTGCATGTGCCGACTTTCAATGTGAAGCACTCTCTGAATATCGAGTTATTAACGTTGAACTGTTTTTGCTGTACGTATTACCAGTATGCCTAATGTTCACGAGTATTTTGATTTAGTTGAAGTTATTACATAAATAAATGTATACATTCTTGCCGTTGGATCATGTGAAGGTGAAATGTCTTATCAGTATCAATCAGTATACCTTTTATATTGATGTTTCTCACTTATGATTATTGTGCGAAATGACCACTAAGAATTGTGCAAACGGTCCAAAACTTGTGCTAAAAGACTTGTGCAAAAAGTCTTTTGTGCGAAATGACCAGTTACCCAGACAGATAGGTTTTATAATTATTGAGAGTGCAACCTTTTACAAGAACTGATAGCATAGATAGGGTTAGCTTGTGAACAAACAATGTATTTCATTGTGAAAATAGTAGTTCTTCATGTATGCTGACCATGGTGACATGTTTTTATCCAAACAGGTGATAAGCTTGGTATATAGTGTATTTTTCTTCAAGCAAAAGAAGACTGGTGGAAGGGAACTGCAAAACTTAAC